AACAATTACGAATGCGAAATTCGTTATCGTCCCGGGAAAGCTAATGTAGTAGCTGACGCCCTCAGCCGAAAGGAATACTCGGGCCGCCGAGTGAAATCCTTATCCATGACGATCCATTCACACCTGTCCACACAAATAAAGGAAGCTCAAATGGAAGCCTTGAAATCCGAAAATGGAATGTGGCAGGAGGAGCCCTAGAGGAATGGATAAGAATCTTGAAGTCAGGATGACGGATTCGTTCTTATCATGAATCAGATCTGGACGCCGAAGTTTGGCGGATTTAGAGATGTTGTCATGAATGAAGCTCATACGACTAGATACTCCGTACATCCCGGTTCAGACAAGATGTATCTGGATCTCAAGAAACTGTATTGGTGGCCAAACATGAAAGTTGAAATCGCTACCTATGTAGCCAAATGTCTGACTTGCGCCAAAGTCAAGGTAGAGTACCAAAAGCCCTCGGGATTATTGCAACAACCAGAAATACCCGAGTGGAAGTGGGAGCGGATAACATGGATTTTATAACCATTTACCCAAGACAGCGGGTGGACTTGACACCATCTGGGTGATCGTCGACAGGTTAACCAATCCGCGCAATTCCTACCAATAAAGGAAACGGATAAGCTGGAGAAACTAACTAGAACATACATCAGGGAGATTGTACGACTGCATGGTGTACCAATATCCATTATCTCGGGTCGAGATAGTAGATTCACCTCGAGGTTCTGGCAGTCACTACAAAAATCTCTAGGAACGAGGCTCGACATGAGTACCGCCTACCACCCACAGACCGACGGTCAGAGTGAGAGAACCATTCAAACCCTGAAAGATATGCTAAGAGCTTGTGTGATCGATTTTGGTAAAGCGTGGGATACCCATTTACCATTGGTTGAGTTCTCGTACAACAATAACTATCACACTAGCATCAAGGTTGCTCCATTTGAAGCCCTCTACGGCCGTAAGTGCAGATCACCTCTGTGCTGGGCTGAAGTGGGTGATACGCAACTAGCTAGAGGTCAAGTACCCGACAACACTCTCACTGGCCCGGAAATCATAAGGGAAACTATCGAGAAGATTGTCCAAATCCGAGAACGACTGAAGGCTTCAAGGGACAGACAAAAGAGTTATGCGGATAAAAGACGGAAACCCTTGGAATTACAGGTTGGGGACCGGGTACTACTGAAAGTCTCACCCTGGAAGGGATTAATATGTTTTGGAAAACGTGGGAAACTAACCCAAGGTATATCGAACCATTCGAGATCCTTGCCAGGATCGACCCGGTGGCATACAAACTGCGATTACCGCAGGAACTCAATAACGTACACCCTACCTTTCACGTGTCGAACCTAAAGAAGTGCTTGTCCGATGAGACCCTCGTCATCCCTCTGGACAAAATTAAAATCAACGAAAGTCTCCACTTCATAGAAGAGCCAGTAGAAATCATGGATCGGGAAATTAAAAGAACTAAACAAAGTCGCATACCCATTGTGAATGTCCGTTGGAATGCCAAGCGAGAACCTGAATACACCTGGGAGCGCGATGATCAAATGAAACAAAAGTACCCGCATCTTTTTCCAAGTCCATAAACTCTGTCTTAGATTAAATTTAGAGACGAAATTCCCTCTAACGGGGGGATAATGTGACAACCCGATATTTCAAGTCAATGTAATGTTCAAAAAGTCAAATATTATAATCTATTTTGAAATCAATAAAAATAGCGTCAAAAACGAATTGTTCAAAAGTCTCAATTTAGATACATAAATTGTTAGATATCATATCAAGGATTACAGAAATATAAAGAACACGCAAATCCGACTTATAACGAAGAAGTTATGACTAATCAAAGATTCACGACAAAACCGATGAAACACTGTCAAGTGTAAAAAGTGAAATTTCAATAAAATACTTTTTAGCCTTAGGTATCTAAACGAAAGTCGTAGATTATGTTAAACCATAAACGTGCATAAAAAGAACGCCCAAATCTGACTTCATATAAGGAAGTTATGATTTTTCTAAGTTTCGGAAGTAGCAGTAGACAGCTAAAAACTCGAAGTAGAGATCGAGCGATTTTTAGTCGACGCAACCTAAACGGGAATTGAAGATCTCAACTATAGTAGTACAACGGTAAAAAGACAGACGAAAACGGACGTCAGATGAAGAAGATATGATTTTTTTTTTATGGATTTTTCTTGTCCCGACCTACTAAAAATATAATATTAAAACTTAAATCAAAATTAGCCGATGGAGTCTAAACGAAAGTTGTAGAGCACAATCTCACCTACGCGTGGATATAAAGAACGTCGAAATCGGAGCTCGTATGCGAGAGATATGAATTTCTGAAGTTCGGGGCACGCACACCAACCTTATCCGAAGACTCACGACGTGAGCAAGAGACTCACGACGTGAGTCTATGATTGATGTGTGCCAGAGCTAGACCACCATTCGTCACGTCTACGGGCCAAACTCACGACGTGAGCCATCCCATGCTCACGACGTGAGTCCCGAAAGTTCACCCTATAAATAAGATGCGAGGGTTCCGACTTCCCTTGCTCATTTCCCTCTTCTCTCTCACTTCTACTCTATGTTTAGCATCCCGAGACGACCCCGACACCCCGGTTACATATCCAAGTTCCGACGAAGGTCCGAAGCCCCGAGAATCCCGAGAAACTTACCACTTCCCGGTCGAAGTGCTACCCGAGTAAAGTCTCGTTTCCATCAAATCATCACACTTTCCAAGTGAGTTCATACCCCTACATTTTCACGTCTTTTTCATGTTTTAGGGGGGAAATACAAGTGAAACACGAGAAAACTTATGTTCAAATACGCATCGTTATATATGGTTTCGACTATTTTACTTACATCCTGTTTATAAATGTTAAACAACATTAATACCAACGTTACACTTTACATGCAAAGTTGGTATTACGTCAAGTTTTTATCACCAAATGGAACACACTTTTGAAAAACTATAATAGGTATAGTTTATGAAATATTCATGACAACTTTACATAAACACTGTATAAAGGAAATACTTTCATCTACGAGAAATGTAGACTTTTCATTCCGTAAATCTTTTGATACTAAGTTTTGTGAGACATTCATCTTCAACGTACCCTCAAGTACGCATTTCAAGTCATGTATTATAAACCATAATCTCTTGGAGGGAGAGCGTGATACTTGTGTATAGATCTATACGGGATTGACAATCCCGCACCTAAACTGTTAGCTACAGTTAGACCGGCAGGTCTGAGGTGACAAACGTTATAACACTGCAACATCTGAAGAACGTTGTTACAGGTAGTCTGGGTCAATAGCATGGTTATAAATCTCACATGGATTATCGAAATACTTTGATTTACGAGACTCTTAAATACATTCAGTGTTACATTATATATGTATAAATCCACTTTCACCATTTTAGCATGAAAGATACTATTGTATTCCAACCTTTGGAACTATTTCAAACTATCACGCATACATAGAAAATATTGGATTTTCTGGAAAACACATTCTTACCGAAAGACATACAAATTTTAGTACAAAAACGCTTATGAACTCACCAACTTAATTGTTGACACTTTTTCAAAACTACTTGTATTTCTCAGGGAGTCAGTAATACAGGTAACCATCAGCTTTTGGAGAAGAAATGCTAAGGCGTCTGTTATCAAAACATTTTAAATCATCATATTTGTAATATTCTTTTGAAACATGTATTACATGCAACGATGTAACTTTTATTATATTTATGATGGTTGGGTTACTTTCTTTACAAATATTCAACTGTTATGATACTACGTGAAGTCATCCACCCCCGAATGTTTCCGCCATTCTGGTTTCGGGGTGTGACAAGGACTGTACCGCAACCATTTCTTTTAGTGAGTGGTGGTGACGCTGTTTAAATGTGTTTGATTATAATTTTTTTTAATAAAAGAACAACTAATCACAACCGTCATTCGCTCATCTCTTTCCTCTCGTTGTTCGGGCAACATTGCATTTTTGGCAAGCTTCTTAACGGGATGCTAAGGGTGGTGTTTAGCGAACCCAACAAAGTGTTGACAAGGACTCTACCGCAACCATTCCTTTTAGTCCTACAACTTTCATATTCATATTTTAATTTTTAGGGGCGAAAATTGAAAACACTTGCACTCAAATGCTTTGATGTCAAGAACTTAATAATAAAATATCATTGATAAATTTTCCTAGAATAGTTATTAACTATTTTTTATAAATATTTAATACACACAATCCGACACACACACAAACATTCACTCTTCTAGGGCTATACGGTATAATGACGTTTTTGCCAACGACAAGCCGACGTGGACAATGTTACTGACGGCAAACACCACCTCTTGACTAGTCTTTTTATCAACATACTATTGCCGATCACTATTGTCATTCAATAACTAATGAAGAGTAATGATGTGCGCATTGAGAGACTTGTACAACTAGCATCACATAAAATACATTACATAGATTATGTAGCATTATATTTTTTTAATTAAAAAAATTGGTAGGCAAAGATGCTACCACACCACACTCATAGACAAAAAACAATAAGAATTGCAAAAGCTTATGTAGCGTCTATAAACCACCAAATTTTGATAAACCACCACATCCTTCAGCCTATACAGTAAATTACGAGAATATATCGCTACTCATAAGGAAATTATGATCAAGATGTACTTGATAATGACTAGGGTTGTAAACAAACACGAACGGGGCTTGTTAATGTCCGTTCATTTAAGTTAGTCGAACAAATAAACGAACACGAACGGATAAACGAACGAGTTTCCTTGTTCATGTTCGTTCGTTTAACAAATTACGTTGTTCATGTTCGTTCGTTTATGTTCGTGAACATGCTAAACGAACATAAACAAACGAACATAAATGAACAAAGATAAAAAAAAACATATTGAAGATATATGAAATAAATGAACATATAATACACTAGTGTAATCAAATACAATTAAGCATATGTGAACATAAAATGAACTTGTATGAACGAACGTAAACGAAAATTATAAACGAACATTCACGAACATAATTGAACGAACGAGACCATTGTTCATGTTCGTTTGTTTAACTAAACGAACAATAATTTGTGTTCATGTTCGTTCGTTTACTAAATAAACGAACATAATCGAACTTCCCGTCGAATGGTTCACGAACAGTTGGTTGAACTGTTCAGTTCGTTTACAGCCCTAATAATAATGACTTTTACGTAATGAAAGAAACACAAAGAACAATGTTTTGCAAAAAGCTATATATATATATATATATATATATATATATATATATATATATATATATATATATATATATATTAACTGAAAATCAAACATGTAAAACTAGTTTTCTATAATATACAACCTGTTATATTTTTGGAAAAAAATATAATAATAGATCATTGTAGTTTTGAAAAGAGAGTCAAGGTAGAGTCCAAAAACTGATTGATAGGATCCTACTGGATTCCACGTTGGAATACGGTGTACGGGATAAAAACCCAAACCCTCCACCGGAAAAACCAAATCCCCCGCCTCTATAAGTATCCCCACCGCCGATCACTTATCAACACAGCAACACTCACAGCTCTCTTTTCCTTTCGATTCTCAACACTCAACAAACCCCTTAAGGTACGCTCTCTTCTCTTTCTTCAATTCTACAATCTACAATCCTTCTATTTTATGTTCTTAGCTCGTAAATCTTAGATTCGTTTACTTTTCTACAAACTCCGAATCTGTTTGATTGATGAGAATAACTACATTTCTGTGTAGAATTCATTTCATCGTATTCGTTTATGTTTCTGTTTCTGTTTCTCTGTGCTAATCCGAATAAAAATTTATCTGTTTAAAAGAGAGGATAAGATTTGTTATCATCGAGTTAATTTGGTAATACATCTGTAAACTGATTTCATTTATGAATAAAACCTAATGTACAGGAGAAGCTTTCTACATTTTATGGATTATAGACATCTTCTAGAAGAGGAAGTTGCGAGGGAATCTCTCATCGCCATTTCAAACGGTGTTGAAGAAATTGTTTATTTACCAGAGTCTGAAAAATGGAAACGGCGTAGAAGATGCTACAGTTATCCATAATGCTAAAATCAAGACCATTGAAGATGAACTGATCAGATCAGAATTGATATCAATTGCTGCTTTTGAATCATCGGCAGCTGATAACAACAGTGACGAATCCTGAACTCCTGATGTTTAAATTTTTTGAATATTATGATACATTCCAAAGTCTTCAAGATTGTTACTTGACTTTCTAATAGATGTTAACATTTTGCCCTATCATTATCGTAATGAAAATAAGTGTAAATTATTATGCATATCAATGTTGCAATGTTATCGTGTTAGGCTCCGGCCTACATTTATATAATATAAAATTTTAAATTTTATTTTATATATTAAAATTTAAAATAAATAAATATTTAATAAACACTATTTTTGGGAATTAAGTTATATCGTATACGAGCCGAGCCGGAGTCTATATCATTTTTAACAAGTTGATCTTGAGCTTTGTCTTATAAGCTTGAAACGAGCCGAGCTCGAGCCAAAAAAAATTTAAACAAATCGAGGCTCAGCCTGGTAAGGTTCGGTCTCGGCTTGGCTTGTTTACACCTATAATCAAGAGGGATGAGGACAAAAATCATATGAACAAACCACAACTAAATGAACCCGAAAAGTGAAACAAAAAATTAATTGAAGATCAATTAAACACTGAACCGATGAGATAAAGAAGAGGGAGAACAGAGGATTTCCAAACTAAAAACATATATTGTTGTTGAGAAAAAAAATCAAACACATATTTGAAAAAAACTAAATGAACCTGAAAAATGAAACATAAAGTTAATAAAGTTAATTGATGATCAATTAAACACTAAACCGATAAGATGGAGAAAAGTGAGAACATTGGATTTCCAAATTAAACACATATAGGTTGATATTTGAAAAACAATTGTCTGGCATGATGATCCCATGAAATCGAGGAGTAGGGTTGAGTTTGCATAATAGAAAGACCAATTTTTGTCACACTTGTGCATATAGAGATGTATATGAAATATAGATGAAGAATACGAAACATGTATAAATGTAAAACCCCTAGCAAATTGATTTGAATTTTGCATAATAGAAAGATGAATGCTTGTCACACTTACGCATATAGAGATGTATATGAAATATAGAGGAAGAATACGAAACATGTATAAATGTAAAACTCTAAGCAAATTGATTTGAATTTTGAACAAATTGATATGAATTTTTGTAAAGCCTGGTTGCTGGTATGTATTTAAATTTATAAATTATTCACTTTTATAGAGAAACTCGACGAGTTGGGAGCCCCAGACTCGTCGAGTAGAGATGAATTTGGACTCGGGTTAAGAAACCTACTCGACGAATTGAGAGGCCTCAACTCGACGAGTAGGCTGGCAGAGTGAAACCCTAAATTTCAGGGTTCTGCACACTATTTAAACACCTTAACCCCCATAAGTTGGCTTCATTTCCAGTCTCCATTGTCCAAAACCCTAATCACGAAACCCTAAGCCATTGTTGGTGATTGTGAGCTAACTTTGTGCATTTTTTGGTGAGATTGAAGAAGAAGAAGCTTGAAGGAGGGGCAAGAACGTATAGAAGGAGAGTAGATCCAGAAGTTGGACTTCATTTCTGGTTCATCTAAGGTATAAAGCTTCTACCTTGTCTATAGCATGCTTAGATCTAGTTTTAGGATGTTTTGCTTCATGTTTTGGTCCATATATGTTGATGGTTGGGATTTGGACGTCCCACTTGGGCAAACCTTTCAGATCTAGGGTCTTGAGAGGGCTTTATGGCATAAAGGTGCCAACTTTATGGCCATGGAAACCCCATGCAACTTTTAGACCATCTTTTTGGTCTTTTGAGCCTAGAAGATCATGCATGCAAGTAAAGATGGGAACTTTACATGACCAAATTGTCCCTATAGTCCAGATCTATGACCACATGGTCTATCTTAAAGTTTTGATGACTTTTGGAGTTGGATCTAAGCCATTTTGAGTTAGGGTTAGAGCTCATTCCTTCTAGGGTGGGTGTTAATGGGTAAAGTTGGAAACTTGTAACACCCCTTTTAATTAATAAATAAACAAATAAATTAATAAATGTAACTCTCGGACTAAATTATGAAGAATTTTTATAGCTGAGGGTTGTTTAGTAAATTACGGAGTTGATTTGAGAAGAATTTTAGAAGCGGGGGTATGTTCGGTAATTATTAGGACTTATTATGAAGGAAAATTATGGAATAACGAGCAAAAGGATAAATATTGGATTTAATTTGAAAAGATCCCATGGGGAGGGACCAGAACTGTAATTATGGGAAAGTTGTTAATTGGACGGGGGTATATAAGACCCGTAACCCTAACCCTAGCTCAAGAGTTAGCAGCCGTCATCTTCTTTTCCCCCTTATGCCTCCCTCACCGGCCACCACCCTACCCCCTTGTTTCTCCGACCACCGAGTCGTCCATGTGCCCTCCGATGAAGACGATGAGCCACCAACACCATGTGTTACACTTTCAGCCGCCACCTTCTTATTGTTCTTCCGACCAGTCAAAAGCGTCGCCTACTGCCTCACCGACGAGTACCACCACATCGCTGCCACCGGAGACGTTAGGAAGCCGGAGGAGCCACCGAGACCCACGAAGGAGGCGGTGAACGCCGCTGTTGAGTATGAACGACCTGAAACTCTCGGTTAGTCCACCGCAAACCACCCATCTATCTTTTCTTCTTCGTTCTTTCTGTGATTTGGTGTTGTGTACGTCAGGTGCCGCTGCCAGCAGCCCTATGGTCACCGTTTGGGTCGCCGCCGTTGTTGGTCGCCATCTCTAGGGTTCCGTTCGTCGCCTGCCACCCGTAGTGGCTGAGTTGGAGATGTCTCAGCCTTTAGACCATGTTTTCGAGTGTGCACATAGGTTTGCTTGATTGGGAATCAAGAGAAACTGTCGGCTGTCATCGCGAAACCACCACCACTGCCGCCTCTCCGGGGTCCTGCCGCCGCCAAACGCCACCAGGTGGGTGGCTGTGTTACTGTTTCGGGAATGGAGTAATTGTGTGTGTGTGTTATTCAATGATGTAGTGTTGGGTGTTTATTTGGCCGGAAAAAGCCACCGTCGGCCGCCACTAGGGTGGCTGTGTGTGTGTTATGTTAGTTAGTGTGTGTGTCTATTTTTGGTTTCAAGCATTGTATCTGTAATTAGCAAAGAATAATGAAAATAATAACCACCACCGTGAACCGCCGTTGACCACCACTACCCAAGGTGGTAGTGGGTGGTGCCCCACTAGCAAAACCCTAATGGACCTAGCAAAAACCCTAATGGGCTTAAAGATTAGTTTTGGGCCTATTGGGCCATGTTTGGGTGGGAAACCCTAATTAGGGTTTAGAAAACCCTAATTTTAGATATGTGGGCCTTGGACTTATTAGATCCACCTTTGGGCCAATAATTGGCCATCCGAGAATGATCATATGAACTAGAACAATTAGATGGGCTTTAGGGTAAGGCACATAGGAGGGTTGGGCCCAATTTGGAAAATTGGGCCATAGATGGGACATAGTTTGGGCCTAGATGGTTGTATGATATTGGGCCCTTAGAATGAGACATGTTTGGACTGGACTAAATGGTTGGGCCTTTGAATAAGGCCATGTAGAGGTATGGGCCCAATATGGAAAATTGGGCCATATGTTGGGCTTTGAGCCATAGTTAGACTTTGGGCCTTTGGATTGGCCCTTGGGCTTGAGTCAAGCTAAGATAAGGGTAGAGTAGTCTTTTGCCCCAAGTATGAACTTATTATGGTTATGAGTTGGAACCCCATTATTAAATGGGTGTTATTTTGGTATTGACAGATCGAGAATCTGTCATCGAGCAGGTATGGTTTTGTCATCATGACTTCAGCAGTGTGAGGTGAGTTTCCCTTCAGTAGGAACGGGTCTAAGGCATCAATGCCGACCCGTTTAGTATTGTAGTATACCGGGATTAGCCCGATGCAGATTGTATGTTTCCGGACTTCGGTTTGATGCCGGGCGGGGCCCGATGCAGTGGTTTAGCTTCATGTTATATGTTATGTTTCTGGACTTCGGTCCGATGCCGGGGCAATCCCGAGAAGTAGCTATGTATGCTTGTTGTCTTTGTGACTCACACATGTTTGTGTTATGTGTTATATGTTCTGGGCTTCGGTCCGATGTCGGGCAAGCCCGATGCAATATATATATATATATATATATATATATATATATATATATATATATGTGATTATGTTATATGTTTATGTTTTGTTATGTTTAGTACATTTCGGACTTCGGTCGGATGCAGTGGGCGGGGACCAAGTTATTCCAGACTTCGGTCCGATGTCGGGCGGGGCCCAAGTTATTCCGGACTTCAGTCCGATGCCGGGCGGGGCCCAAGTTAGTCCGGACTTCGGTCCGATGCCGGGCGGGGCCCGATGCAGTGGGCAAGGCCCAGTATGTGTTATTGTATGGTATGTGGTAGTTTGGGGAGACTCACTAAGCTTCGTGCTTACAGTTTCAGTTTTGGTTTCAGGTACTCAGTTTTCAAAAGAGGAGCTCGGGAAGATTGCAGTGCACACACCATTTGATCAGCCGAAGATGTTTATACTCTGATATTCATGACAGTTGTTATAGTATTCTGAGATACATTGTTTATGATTTTTCTATGACGTATGATTACTATGGTTTTTATTATTAAATTAAAACGAAATTTTTAGACCGTGTTTTTGGGATGTTACAAGTTGGTATCAGAGCCTTGGTTTGAGGGATTCGGGCACACTTTCGGGTGTGTCTGAACTCAAACTAAGGAAGTGGTATAAAGTTTTCAAAAGAAAAACCATGTTTATAAAAGGATTTTGAGAAAAGAAAACAATTTTAGAAAAGTATAAAGAAAGGAACTTTGAAAAGAGAAAAGGGTGTGGTGCATGCAATCAGCCGAGCTCAAATAAGTACTCCCAAATTACCCATACAAGTTTATGTTATGTTATAATTATCAGCTTTATTAGAGCAGCATGCTAGATTAGAACTAAGGATCTAGGAAGGATGCCTTATGTGCATGCTATATGTGTTTCAGCTTTATGAGAACTGCATGCTAGTACAGAATTGTCGGTATGATAGCCAGAGTAGTAGACGCTTGATTATGTGTACTCGATGCTCGAATGTTGCTTGCTTTGTGCTTTTAGGAGTCTTAGCTATCTTTTACTAACTAGTAAACGAATATGTTAAGTTACATATTGCAAGGACTAAATAATTTCAGAAGGTTAGGTCTAGCTCTATTTCGCAGCTCTTGTTTGAGTCCAACAGTTATAGGGTAGGATCTCTCATTCGAAGAATTATCTAGTCTGAGTAATATGTAATAGTATTC